TCAGGTCCCCAAGTCTTGGAGAAAAGCCTCTCAGGTCCCCAAGTCTCAGAGAAAAGCCTCTCAGGTCCCCAAGTCTCGGAGAACCACAGGAGATCCACGACTCGGAGGACGCCACACGTCCGGTCCTGCGCCTGCTGCGGCCCACCTGGTAGTGGTTTTGAGCTTTGGAAGGGGGTGTTTTCAGGGGGATGTGAAGGTTGTGTTTTTGGGGAATCAAGATGAATCAAGCATCCTGGAGGTCTTGTTTTGGGTCCGAATTCAATGAGGGCACTTTGCCCCAAGATCCACTCACCGAAGCATCCCTCCCCTTTTGTCCCACCAGTAGCTTTTCCCACTGCTTCATTAATATTGGCCGTATTGCTTCATGGGGTGGGTTTACTGTGCTTCTTGGGATCCAGCTATTTTAAAATGCATGAAGAGCTCTGGGCTCTTCCCGAGCTACTGCCCCATGGATCCACTGCTCAGAGCTCCATCCTCGCTCAGAGGAACCCTGAAGGATCCCTCGATCTCAGGCTACCCGTCGTGGATCCGTCGCCCTGCGACGTTGCTTTTTGGGAATCCAGGGGTTTGGGCCCAAACCGTTCGGTCTTCGGCTTGGTGGTCGAACTGGAATCACTGGTGATATGTCTACTATACCAGCACCCTCTCCAAGGGGTCACCAATGGAAGCCCACACACTACTGAGAGATCTCCATTGGACACCCATTGGATGCTCCTGATATATGGTTATTTGCCTAGATCCACTGGGTATGGGTTGCATCAGCCCAGGTACCGCAGCCGAAGAGACCAGGCTGCGCTGGGCCGCTGGCAGGGGGACCCTCACGGTTGATCAGCTGAGTCCCTGGGAGACCTCGGCAACTGGTATCAGTGGGAAAACCGGTGGCTACAGTGTGGGCACATGTCGTCTCCCATCCTTTGACCCACCCTCAGTGAAGCCCCAAATCTGGGCACCTGGGCATGTTCGGGCACCTTGCCCAGACCATCCATGGGACTGGACTATATACACGCCGACCCTCCTGGCACCACCCACATGAATGGTCGGATGCTCTGAGAGGTCGGGTGGCTCTGAAGAGCGGCACGAGCTCGGTGTCCCGTGTCCGGTCCGGATTTCCGTGTCCTCTTCGTGGATCGAGCTCGGTGGCAGATCTGGGAACTCTTGGATGACCAAAACTCCAGCACAGCTGCTTGGTGCATCTCGCAGTTTCTCAAGACGTGCCTGGGCCGCCAGCCACCCACGTGGGTGAGGGGATGGTTCAGGTCGGTGGGTGCGACCCTGTGGATGAACGGCGCGACCGATGAGACCGGGGATTTGGTACCCAAAACATGGGCCACCCGTCGTGCGTCGTCTGTCTTGGAAGGTGGGTCAGGTATACGACTTAAGTGTTTGTTGCTTTGTCCATGTTGGGTGCACATCACTCAACTCTTCTGGATCACTCATGAGACATGTGGACGCCAAGTGTCACCCAGTGTCGGTGTCTTGAATGGATGGTCTGGGATCACGACTGGGACTGGCACTCCATGGGACGTCGGTAGATCATTGGAGTGGTGTCATTGGTCCATGTGGGTGAATATGCCATCCATGGAGTGTTTAGGAGCGTGCGCGAGCTTGCAGTGTTTAATGAGGACCGTGCCCACCGGGTTCAGGGTGGTTTTAACACGATGGCAAGGCTGGTGATCGTGAACTTTGTCGTGACCAACCTGCAAACCACGGAGGACAGCCAGACGCGGACAGATCCACGTGATGTTGAAGAAGGGGAGAGTGGAGGAAATCTCTCCAGCAGAGTGTTTTGGGTTCTGTTGGGCTTTGCATGGCTTTTTGCTCTTGGGATTGATTTCCAGGTTGGGCCTTTAATATATACCCTACGCAGCCAAACCCTATAAATTTGTAGGGTCTCAATCGGAACCTCGGGTATTCTTGTGAAATCAAAAATACCTCAGGTTTGTTCTTAAAACCTCGAGTCTTGCTTTTCTAACCGTGCTAAACCCATACTAAACCCGTAATAAACCCATATTTAACCCGTACATACCCGTACTAAACCCGTATTTTAATATTGGTTTGGAAAACCTGGGGTTTCCTTCAGAAACCCTAGGTTTTTCCATCGACCCTACAAATTTATAGGGTTTGGGTGCGTAGGGATATGGGAACCAGGTTCGGCACGAAGCACACAGAATACTCAGAATAGGATGGACGACTTGAGGTTCCGAACGTCCGTCATGAAATCCGCCCAGAATTTCAGTGGGTTCCGTTTCGGCTGATTTTTGCAAGTGGAGTGGGCACAAAAGACGAGGACCTGCTACCTGCGTTTTGGCACCACAGCTCCTAATATTGACTCAGATGTAGCAGAAAGATGAAGACCTGACGTTTAGAGGAAAACCTTCAGGTTTTCGGACCAGCCTGTTGCAGCTTGCTAGGGCCTCCTTCTGTCAATTTGTGAGTAGAGGTAGCTTTTGCTATTTCGCTGCTAGGAGCAAGAAGCTACTAGTAGCTCCTGGCGATACTACTAGTAACAAGAAGCTACTAGGAACAAAGGGCATCGCTAGGGTCTCTCCTATTGCCTGTAACAGTGAGGTTTCACAAGCAAATCACTAGTTTTGGAACTGTCGGCCTGGTACCTAACCATCATCATGCAATGGCGCCAAGTATTACCCAAACACTCCATGTATGCCATATATGCCGACATTGACCCATGTAGGCATATATGGCATACATCGGCATCGCTACGAACGGAGCGTCCACTTGTCACAGGAGCAGACGATCGATCCATTGACAGCCGCAGCAGCTTGGGCGAAGCAGCGTGAAGCAGCGGCGCCATGGGGTGTGGTTCGCGTTTTTTTTGTTTAAGCTTTGTTTTGTTGTTAAGCTCTACAAGTATACTAGTAGCTAAGGACATCGCTACGAACGGAACAAGAAGCTACTAGGAACAAGTAAAATAACAAAAACCAAGGTGTTCTTCAGTCAGGGTTTCTGTGAGGATTCACTCATATATAATATATTCACTAAGAGTTTGTCGCGTGTCACTTGATGCGCTTGCAGCACAGACTAGGCAGAGTGCAGAATTACATTTGAGCATTGAAGCATCCCCCAGAAGTAAGTGTTAATATCAAGTGTTCCCTTGTCAACAGTAACTCATCGTAACTCATTTGGACACTGAGATCCGTGGCTCGAGTCCGAGCCACGCTCGAGCTTCCGAGCCCTTTTTGTGGACCAATCGGACCTGAGAGGCGGAGTCCGATGCAGGACTGACGTGGACTGCAGGTCCCACCTGTTTTGGTCTGGGTCATCCGAGTCACGACCGCACCACCGGGTCCAGGCCCGGAGCATCCATGGGACCTAGACATATTTACATTGGGGTGGTGTCAGGGGGGGTCAATGTATAGGCTATTCCAGTCCCATGGATGGTTTGGGAGGGGACTGGAGATGATGATGTTCCGATTGATGGGCTACGAGCACGGAAGTCCAGATACTTTCACGACTGTGCCGCACATGTGCCGCACGTGGTCCCAGTCAACAGTTATGTCACGATGGATGCAATTTATTCTCACTTGGAGATGCTAACCTGATCAAATATGATTCGGCGACGTCCTTGTTTCGGACAAATGACGCCCCCACTGATTTCGCGACGTGTCGTGACATGGGTCAAAACCTGGAGCCCACAACATGTAGCTTGACCTCACGTCGGTAGGTCAACCAAAGGTATCCCGGTTTTGACAGCTGTTTTGACTTCAAAGAATTCCAGACAGATTCTGATCATTTCTGATTTGCACTCCTATGAGGAGACGAGAGATGTCGAGGAATGATGCACAGCGAATGAACCAAAATTATGTAAAATTGCGTAAATTAAACCAAGGCCCCATATTTTTAGGACATCAAGGTGAAACAGATGCTGTACATATTAATGCATCAGCTCCGACTTCACGCCTTTTTGCGCAAACATGCTGTTTTGCATGAACTTTGGGCCATGATGCTTGCAGCAAGCTTGCATGGGTATGACGGTATGATGTCTTATGATTTCTTCTTCGCCCCAGGTCATGGAGACGATCTTCGATAGCATTTTCCTCTGCGAGTTCTGCATTCGCTTGTTTTCAGCACCATCGAAACGACGCGGCTCGGAGCACCGTGCTGCTCAGCGCGGGTGACGCAGCGAAAGGACGGCGACGCAGCGAAAGGACGGCAGCACCAGGTTTTACACCAGGTAGGTGTGTAGCATGGCTTGTGCGTTTGACCATTACACACAGAGTATGAGAACATCCTGGTTCCTTGCATCCGTCGAGGCACAAAAGGCCCACTGCGGATGGCCACGATTGAAGGTGGGTATGTACCGTAGAAGCATGCGAGATTGTTTATCATGCAATGCAGCTCAAATATACTCTACAATGTCAATCGAGAAGCGAGAAGGAAAGGTGAGACGGCTAAACTATTCCACTCTCATCTCTCAGTAGCGCAGCAGATGAAACAAGAATCCAGCATCCAGTCTTCATCACACGCTCGTGTGCTCTCTCATCACTGTTCCGCACTTCCTCAGACAGGTCATGGCACCAAAACACCGGCCGGTTTGGACACACGCGAATGAACCGAAGGTCAACGACCTGGTTTCGGTCAAGCGAACCCCTTTTAGGGGTTCTGGGTGCCATGACCCACAGCCACATGACATCGCATGACCGGTGCCAGACTCTCGGCATAGGCTCTAGGATTTTGCTCATGTTCTGTGCCTGTGTGTGAAGGGGATTAGTTTGTCCAAAGTGGGTTTGGGCGTGGAGTTGTTCAATCTCCAAACACAAAAGTCAAAAATGATCCGGGATTTTCTTAGAAGAAAGCATAAGAAAGCAGTCCTCCAAGAAGTCAAACCTGTACAGTAATAGATAACACCATCGACATTTTAATATCCAAAGAGCTCTTCGACGCCCCGTATAGACCGAACCACTGCTTTCGTGTTCGGCTCGGCTCGATGCCGCCCTCCTCTCAGGATACATGGAAGACTCGTTGTACCTCAGAATCGGAGCGGGGGGCCGGACCGAACAGTGGGGATTGGTGACCTCAAAATCCAACAAGAAAAAGGTGAACTGTTCTGTTCCAGGGAAGCTGAGGGGGTTAGGAAACATGCGCAATGTGCAGGTTGAGTTTCTTGGGTGCAATGTTTGCACCCTGCATTGAGATTGAAACCCTGAAAACAGGGTGCAGCAAGGCCTTATGAACTGCATGTTTTCTTTGAGTATTGGGCCATTGGGTAAAGATCCATGATCAAGTTTTGCATGCTCATGCTCGTGGAGTTGTCTCACCCAACAGATCCCACTGTTCTTCGATGAATATGTTTGGATGTTTCTCGACTAAATGTGTATCTTATGGGCTGGAAGTGGAGCCTCTCCTGGCTGTTGGTGGTTTTCCAAGGAATTATTTGCCGTTTCCATGTGAGTCAGAGTGTGCTTTACTTCGAGCTTCGAGCTATCCCCACTCGCCCAGGTACACTGACTGGTAGGATAACCAGTTTGGGACGACTGGCGAGGGAAAGGGTCGAGTGAGGAACAAACGAGAGAGAACTGGAAATAGGAAGAACACGAGGGATGTTGGGCTGATTGTTCCAGGGATTTGTAAATCAGCCGTATGGCATTATGCAATATTATGCACTTCTCACCAGGTTCCTTAAGGTCTATACCAGCCATCACGGGTTCAGACTATATATGCCAATACCTGCTCGAACATGCGTCAACTGCGTCAACTCTTAGAGTCTTAGGCAGTATCCCAGTCCATCATCCATGTAATGGGCACACAGGATTAAGATGGAATAAGCAACCTCCCATTACCTCCCTTATTAATATATTAATAATCAAGCCCAGCTGGAGGCCCCAATACCAAACTAATGTAGAACCTAAATTTCCACCTTGCCATCCCCCTATTAATCAAGCCCGGCTGCCCCAGCACAAAAACAACGTAGCTTACTAATGTTTACTATTATAAAATATTACAATTAAAAACACACATATATATATATATATATTATATAAACATATATTTATGTTTATTGTGCTGTTCTTTTTTTGGCTAGTATCTAACATCTTCTGGTCTGCATGGTGAATTTGATCTTCTGATCCACCCTTTTCTCATCTTCTGATCCACCCTTTTCTCATGCCATCTCTTTGAGAGATAGCATTCTGATCCACCCTTTTCCCATGCTGATCCTCTCATTCATCAATCATTATCATCAGTTTTTCATGATTTTCTCATTTTCCTTGCTTCTCATAGTTCACTCTCATGACTCACACAGAATCCCATCAACTATCATCCATCATCAGGTCCAGGTCATCATCTCATCATCCATCATCAGGTCATCACCTTTATTGAGGGGATGTGGTCTCCAATACCTCCAATCTCAACCCTTGTTGACCTTGTTGACCTTGAAGGGGGGCTTGATGAATCCGGTGTTGGCATTATGGCATATTTACCGACCTATTGGGGTGGAGGCACATATTCCAGACACGCAACATTTGGGTACATTTCTTTGAGACAAAAACCATCTTCTTCCAGCTGGTCCCGTCCCGTCCTGGGCACGTGCCCACGTCGCCAGAAGACGTCCCGTCCTGACGTCCTGGGGAGCCGAGGAATTGGGCCGACGTGCTTTCCGCCTGTGGCTTACCCGTTCGCCTTGCGACCTGGCACCTTGGACCTTGTTCAGCGTGGTTCAGATGTGTTCAGCAGGGGGTTCAGCAGGGGGTTCGATGTGAAGCAGGGGGTGTTCAGATGTGTTCCAATGATATCCTTCATGTTCCACCTTTGTCATGGAGTCATGCAGGATTCCGCTGGACACCTGAAAAATCGAGCGGAAGCGTGGTTTGGCCGTCTGCAGGGCCGCACTGAACCCAAAGTCCGCAGGGTGCCCTGTGGAATTCCGATCCATGCCATGGAAAATCGAATTGAATGAAGATGGCCTCCAGAGCAGGGTATAACTTTTGAAATACGGAGGGATGATTTCTGTACCACTTGGCATAGAGGATCCAACTTGCAGGGTCTTGTTTGGGGGTGCATGAGTGGGTGCATGTATACTTAAGTATTTGTCCTATAGGTGGATGTGGTGTCACCGGTCACCGGCTTTCGGCTGTCAGCGCCATGTAGGTCGAAATACAAAAATGTCGACGTGAATCGAACTATGATCGACCCACATTCCAAAATCCGGACTTGTGCTTTCCTTACCACGCCCTTTCCAATTCCCAGCCATCTACCCCATCAGGGCGGCCAGGCGGCCACACCCCATCGACTCATTCGTTCCAAGGGCCACCTTCGGCGTGCAGCAGGCCTTTGTCAGCTCGGACTGGAACTGGGGCCGGCCGATGAAGACGCGGGACGCGCGGGGACGCGGCCCGGAACCAGCGCGAGCGCCCTGGATTCGGTTTGGGACATAGACCAGTCTACCCAGCCAGGACCCGGGGTGTAAAATGCAGGCCCAAAACAGGGAGGAGCAGGCTGAAAGAGGGTCTTGAATGAGTGGTTGGTGGGATGGGCTTTCTGGAGCTTTTCGAAGAACTTGACCACCATTTCGTTTGACTCCTCTCAAGGACATGTCATTACTGAACATCTGTTGTCTTCTGTTTGGTGCTCCAGGCGAAGTTGGCGTCTGCACGGCGTTTGATGCGTCGATGGGTTTTGGACAACGTTGGTTCGATTCGAGGGGCCTTTTGATGTGTTTCACAGCGCTGTGAAAACAGCGCCTGAAAACAAGAAAGATGGTCATGACACAACCGGTGGTAACATGTTTTGCACCTGTTTGAAGCCTCTTGGCTGGTTTTTGTGGATGAACAGGCGTAAATTGTGCACGGTTGGAAGATTCAGGTATGCCTACATTGACCTCTTTGCAGCCACCCTCATGTATGATCATATATGTACACATGCCAGTCCCGCGGAGTGTTTGCGATGGTACCTTGAGACTGTATTTTACGGCATTTGCATATATATATATATGACATGATATTCAATGCGATAGATGTCTTACTGTGTTACCACTGGTCCGACTGGTCTTGAAGGACAGAGACTCTGGCACTACCCGTGAATAGATCACCATAGACAGGTGACGAACGGGCTCAAATAATCAAAATCCTGCTGTTGCAAAACCTGGTGTAAAGCCACCCTGTGGGACCAACAGGAGAGCGCAGGGACCGGCGTGCCGAAATGTTTGTGTTGATTCTGAACTGATCACTGAAACTGATCTAAAGGGCCCGCTGTTGCTCACCATATAATTGGAGTGCATTGCTTTAAGATTACGTGATTTAAGCAGGTTTTTATTTGGGGATGCTTAGATCTATTTTGTGTCAGTGACAGACTTGACCTCGCTTCACCAAGGTCAAATTATCCTCCTGTTCTTTCTACCTTTGGTCCGCTTGCTGAAGCTTTTGATTCTCAGCAATTGGATGGGTTTTCCACCTAGGCCAAGACCGGGACAACGGAAGGAGTGAAGGTTTAGTCTTGGGTGTTTACCCTCCTTCCTTCGAAGCTGACCAGGACCCCCCTTTTTTTGGATGAACATGGTCGAAACCGGCGGCTTACGTTTCCATGTCCATGATCGTTTCAGGGAGTGTAGTTCTTTGTCCTCGACCACGAATGGCTGGATGGCTTTCGCAGGGGTTTACTGCGTTGGTCGAAATACCTTTGCCGCCTTTGCGTGTGTGTCTCCCCGACGGGCCACTGGAACGCTTAAGGGGGCACTGGCTGGTTGATTTTGCTGCAATTTGCGGGGGGGGTGTTGAACTGGGGATAACATTTTGGTTGGAAGCTCCACTCAGGCATTGTGTTTGGAAAGCTTTGTTTGAAGTTTGCAAGCTGAGAGTTTGTTTGTTTACAGTGCATCAACAGTAAGGACGTGCAGACATTTGAAGAAAACAACCAGTTCCATCTAGTTCCTACAGGTTTGACAACGTTCTCACAAAAAACAGCAGCATCTTTGAGGGATCTTGTGCAGAGGGGCATGCCCCTCCCAGCCAAGTGGTCTCTTTTCCCAAGGAGATATTTTGATTCTTTCCGCCTTCTGATCGACGCATGCAAGAACTCCTTTGAGGCGGTTGCTGAATTTTGTGTGGGAAGCGAACCAAAGGTTTTCTCACCTTTGAGGACACTCCATTGGGCGTGCGATTTTACATGGGATGTGTCGTGAGATCCCTTCGAACAGGTCGTGCTCTGTTAACAGGTCGTGGTCATGTGTCATGTGTCTTGCTTGATTCCTGGTGACCTTGGTTCAATTTACCACCGGGCCTGATCTCAGGCAGACTAAGAAAGATCGATTTTAGCATTGGTCGACTGGGTCATGGAAACCACGAAGTGTTGGATGCCAGCACTTAGACTGCCACTCCCCCGCAACAATCATGGAAATTGACAATGGCCCCTTGGAATTGACGGTTTTCCTAGGGCGGCCCCTATTCTAGACATCAAAACAAAGCATGCAGCCGTATCACGCAATCCATCCATCATCCATCATCCGGATCATCTAGGTGATGGTTGAAAACACCCAACCAATACATCATCCATTGGGCCTTGGCAGCCTCTTGGCTTCCCGGCTGAGCCACTGGGAGCACCGACGAATTAAGAGTCTCCGGTCGTTCGGGCACGGTTTCCTGGCGAAAAACGGTGAGCGAAGCACCGCACAGCGAAGAACATCACCGAATTCAGTGGCTTGAACCAAGCTGCTCACTGAGCCGGAGTGAATCATATTCCCTGTAAAGCCGAGGCTTCGTGAGACATCGAAGATCGCCCAGTCACCAGGGAGTCTCATTACAGATAGATCAACTCTCTATAGTCACCACCCCCAGCTTCGCTCGGATCATGGGAATTTTGGGGAGCCACCAAAGAGCATATATATGGGCCATAATTGGTTTCTTCCTTATCTGGGTGGTGGACTTGGGAGGATTTTTCACCGAGTCACTCACTCACATATTTTGTTCGTGAGTTTAAACCACCAACCATGCAGTTACCAATCCCCTAGTAGCGTCCTTGCTCCTAGCAGCGATGCCGGGAGCCCCTAGTAGCGTCCCAAGACCAAAAACCGGGAGAGAATGTCCCTGCACCACCTGACTGTGGACCAGTACGTCGACCTCGTGCGTTAACCTCCTTGGCTGTGATCTGGAACCAGCGCTGAGTCTTGTCACCCCTTGAGCCTGGTTGTTGCGAAATGGGCGAGGTGTCTTTTCCCTTGGCGTAAATCCCCCAACATGCCACATCCAGATGTTTTTCCCGGTTCAGAGCCGCCATGCGCACCAGGCGTTGCCGGTGCTCACCTATGTCATGGCGTTGATCACCACCATCTCTGCCACCGGGATCTATTTGGTGGAATCCCGAAGTGCTGAGCTCAGAGAAACATCGGTTGAGAGGGCGAACGTCAAAGCTTTTTGGGTCGAGTCTAGCCATTGTGTGTATTCCTGGAGTCCACGTTGGATGTAAGGGCACATGCGATTAATGCCATTTTCCCTTAACAGCCTGAAAACCCTCAACATCAGCCTTGTTTCCTTGTGCCCTCGTGCGCCGCGTGCAACGATTGAGACCCTCAGGCAATATACCTAGCTTGCAGCATTCGATTTGGCTTTCGCTCGCGACTTGGCATTCGAGACGTCAGGCGACTACGGAGTGGAGCATGTCTAGTTCAGGGCAGGTGACGCAGACATGCGATTGCAAGGCTTCCATTGGGTTGGAAGAAAGTTCTTCAAAGACCAATTGATGTACATCATTGTAAATCAATTATATATGATGTTGGAGGTGTTTAGAGGGATCAATAATGACCCTATTGAAGACCCATTGATGTAAATGAATCCCTGCAGGGAGGTGTTTAGCTTCATGACATGCCTTTGGTACAGAGTCCCAGGTGCATCAGGTCTATCAGCAAATTTTGGTGCCAAGAACACTCCCCTTTGTGCCTGGGTGTCTCGTCACTCATTCTCGGATCTTTAGAAGACCAAAGTCCTTTGGGCTGCCTTGTGACATGTTGTGACCGCAGATGGCCTTCTTCTATTGGGTGGTTGACTCCATAGAGGGGATACTGTACCCCTAAGTGAATCACCTATCGGTATATGCTTTTCCTTCCCTGGTTGATCTGGTTGTGACCTGAACCAAGAAGAAGCCTGGATGGGTCCCAGACCATGCATGGGATCCCCTTGTTTCAACCACACCAATGAGGTGAAAACGCCAGTCCCATGGATGCTTTGGGACCGCTTGGGGGTTACCTTCAGGAATGTTTGGATTGATATCAACCAAAAGCCTCCTAAAGGACGGTGTACTGGACGGTAAACGCATGGTAAACGCTGGTGGTGTCAGGGAGAACTACAGTGTGACCGCTCCTGAACCCAGTTTCAGTTTCAGGGATAGAACATCCCTCCCCCCAATGAAACAAGGGCAGGCCAGGTAGGCGGTCAATCGACAGCGTCGTACATGTCGCCCACTCCTGCATCGTTGCGTGAATCGTGAGTTTCGCAGTGGGCGAGGTCACCATGACGACGGTTGGGTATGGCGACTACTATCCCAAGTCCTTGGCGGGTTGCTCGGTTTTTGGGGCTTGGGGTGGGTTTACACGTCGCACACTGGAACAGACCAAACATGTCCTGCATGCGAACTGTTTGGCTTCCTACGAAGCCAGATTTGGAGGACGAGATTGGCATGGTTTGGAGGTTGACGTCAGCTTGGGTTGTGTAGTTTGACCGAGAAAGCGCCTCCTGAGTGTATCTCCCGGAATTGGACTATGAGCGGTGCTCCTCGTTCTTGGGAACAAGATGATATCGTGCATTGCATTGCATTGCGAGGTTTGTGGTTTGGAGTTGTTTGATAACTCATTGACCAAGCTTGGCTTGTCAGGCGTGCTGCTGAGAAAAGTGGTCGAAGGATGTTCTGTGGGCGGAACGATCCTGGACGTGTTCGATCCTGTGTCAGAAGGGCTTGCCCATGTTGCCTTGATACCAGAAAGAGAAGTCCAGGGATGCTCACATGTTGCTTCATTCGTGAGGAAGCTGACGCTAATATGAATGGCAAACAGGCTGCCACGTGGAGGAATTTGCAGGGCACAGTTGCATAATGGCGAAAAATTGCTTCGTGCTTGGGGCGTGACTGCTGTTCAGGCTGATTAGAGGTTTTTCTTTCGGCTTTGGAATCCTTCATTGCATTAACTTTTAACGAGGAGAGAGGGCATGACTGGCATGTTATCAAAATTGAAATTGACTTGAAGCGGCTTCCTAGTGCCATCAAAGGTAGTAAGTTGGCCACTTGTGTTCGTTGCCAATGCACTGGCGGCTTGGATAGCAGTCGGGGCGAAGAGAAGGCCGTTCTCCCTGAGATCGCGTGGTTCTGTCCTCCGCATGATGTGGGACACTTGATTCAATTTGATGGAAGTGAATGATTGAATGGCAAAGCGGCTAACAGTGAAGCCGAGCCCTGCGCTCGACTTGAACCTTTTAGCGCGACCTTTTGTGTTTCGTCTTGGTTTGGACTGGCTCTAGGCTTCTCCTAGCTTTGCTATCAAATATGTCCCAGTGCCTGTGCCTGCAGACTGTTCCTTGCCTACTCGATGCGCCGTCCAATAGAGCCAAGGGCAGGGTGCTAGCACTACTACCACCACCACTACCACGACTACTATTATTACATATTATTACTACTACGACTACTACTGCTGCTGCTGCTGCTACTACTACTACTCCTACTCCTACTTACACGTATCTCACCCGCACCTCACTCACACCCCTATTCAATTATGAAAGCCAGCCTTCGTAGAAGGCGCCAGCTGAGTTGTGTTTGGCGAACGAAATGAGTAAGTAGGGGGTCTGGGGGGGTGGCCCGCAAGCGTATTAGGTAAACTCGAAAATTAGGTGGGGAAGAGGGGTCCACGCAAGTAGGTTTTTTGAGGTTGAGTTTCTGTGATTTTTGAGGGGGTGGTGATGCAAGAAATGCAACTTGCATCATTTGCATCATCTCATTGGTAAGGTGTAGCTGGCGCCTTGCCAGGTATAGATACCCAGGGTAGCTACAATTCAGTTACCAGGTATGGTACTTCAAGTTCCCTTTACGTCAACCGCTCGAAAACCTTTACACGCGCACAGCAATCCACAGCTTTGAAGTCTCATTCGTGCTTTGAACTTATATAGGTGTGGAAGAGGTATAGCAACATAGCATTTATACAGACCCAGGGTAGCTACAATCCTGTTGCCAGGTATGGCACTTCAATTTCCCTACCCTGGGTCCGCGCCTGGGCACAGAATTTGTTGCTAATTTGGGTCCGTATAAATGCTTTGTTGCTATACCTCTGACACACCTATGTCATACCTGGTAACTGAATTGTAGCTACCCTGGGTATCTATACCTGGCAAGGCGCCAGCTGAGTAAGAACGGGGGTTCGGGGGGGGTGGCCTGAGAAAGCACACTCGAGCAGCTGACATCTCATGATCCAAGCTCTTTGCAACCTCATGGCCAGACTGCGATGCTTTACCATATCCCTCAGACTTGTCAGTTTTCTTCGAATTCTTTCCACCGACCTTCACGGCCAATCTATTTCCACTTGAACCTGCCATGGATTCCAACCGCTCTTCAGAGTAGGTGGTGTGTAGGGGTGCACGGAAGCAAGGTTTTGGAGGTGTTTTTTTTGATTTTAAGAAATGCAATTGTCTTCGGTTGCTTGAAGTGCTTTACTTGGCAACTGAATTGTAGCTACCCTGGGTATACCTGGCAACTGCCTTGTAGCTGCCCTGGGTCCGCGCGCGCGCCTCTGAATCTAGGGCAGCCTGGAGCCAGCAAGGCGCGCGCGCGGACCCAGGGTAGGGAAATTGAAGTGCGATACCTGGCAACAGGATTGTAGCTAACCTGGGTCCGTGTAAATGCTATGTTGCTATACCTCTTACACACCTATATACAAAAGTTCAAAGCACGAATGAGATTTTAAAGCTGTGGATTGCTGTGCGTGTGTAAAGGTTATCGAGCGGCTGTTGGAAAGGGAACTTGAAATACTATACTATACCTGGTCACTGAATTGTAGCTACCCTGGGTATCTACACCTGGCCTGAGAAAGGGGCTGGCCTGAGAAAGCACACTCGAAAGTAGGTGGTGTGTAGGGGTGCACGGAAGCGCGCCGTGCGCGATGCTGCATGCTGCCTTTGGCCAACAACGTGCTCGTGGAGAAAAAAAGCTGGCTTTCGTTTTGCAGCTTCTCAGGTGTTGTTGGTCATGCAAGCAGGTGGTACATGCTGGTACAGGATGTTCGTCAATTGGACCTTCGCAGGTTTTGATGCCGGACTAGGCAATGTTAAAAGGGAACGCGGGGCAAAATATTGTGTTATATTGTATGATACGTGTATACATACATATATACTTTTCCAAAGTATTGTGCATGACTTCTCCCCTCACTACTACTCCTACTCCCACTCCTACTCCTACTCCTACTACTACTACTACTACTACCACTACCACTACTACTACTACTACTACTACTACTACTACTACTACTACTACTACTACTACTACTACTACTACTACTACTACTACTACTACTATACTACTACTATACTACTACTATACTACCACTATACTACCACTATACTACCACTATACTACCACT